CGGGAAATTACGGAAAAACTGCTAGGAAGTGGGGAGAAAGCGGCTGGATGGGGAGGGGAGATCGTTTTCTTCGCGGTATCTCCCATTTCACATCTGCTGTGTACCCCCGATTCCCTCCTTCCTCCGCCCCCATCCCGAAGTCATCTCTTAAGGGGGGTGGTGCGGACTAGACCAAAATCCGCAACTAACGATATGCTCTGCCACCCCCTCGACAGAAAAATTTCGGGGAAAAAATGGAAAAGTTTCGATCAGGGTACGTCATCGCTGGGGATTCCCCAAAGGGGGTCGTATTTGGTCGCTGGGGGAGGGGGTCGTACCTGGTATGAGAATGAATGGAGAAGGAATGAATTTTTCGATGGTTGATTTTTTAGAGACGCTTTAAAGGGTGGGGGTCGTATTTGCCTTCTGACCTGAGAGGTTATTGGCTTCTCGTGGTTTTTCCTGTCTCTAGTGTACTTATATCCCCTCCCCCACGCTCGACAGCTCGATGAGAATGAAAGGAGGGAACTAGAAGGGGGGGGGGGGAGTCGTACAGACCAGCCAAAATCCCCAACGATTGATGTGCCCTGATATTGGGAAATTTCGGAAGAAAGTGGCAGGACGCTTGGAAAAGTTGGCAAGATAGTAGGTGGGATGCGGAAGGGGGTCGTATTAGACGACGGTATTTGAGGTGGTATTTTTGAAGAATTCTCCCCAGTGGCAGGACGTCCCCTGGTTCTGAATATCATTTCGTTGGAAGGTTGTCTTGATGCACTCTTGAGTCGAGCTGTACGCTTGCAGCTCGTGCGCTCGAACCGGTTCCACTTTTTTCCCAGTCTCATTGGCGGCGGCTGACTGTTTGTTGAGAGGTACGACTATTCGGAATGAGAACTCGGGAATTAGCACATATTTCCTTCTTCTAGATTCGTTCTTGAGAGAATGGGGAATCGGGTCGCTTCTTGGAATAATTGCAGGTGTTCCTATATCCTATATTTCGATTGCAAGTACTCCTATTTCCTACATTATCCAAAAATATTCTTGGAATCGGAATTTTGCATCTCATTATAGCCGTAGTTCGTTGTTGGCCTTCACTTCCGATTTGTCTCGTGCTTACACGTACTAATCTTTGGGAGTTAAAAAAAATGGTGGATGGGCCTTACAGCACACACACCTAGTCCAAGGATCAGCTTCCGTGTCGAATCACCCAGGCGAGTTCAATGAAATGTTAGATCGAATCCCACCCAAGCCAGTCAAGCATTTCATCCTTCCGAGGATCGAATAGTTGTTAGATTACTCTCTGGCTTATTCACTCGTTAGGCATTGTTCACACTCTGCGGTCCAGCGTTTCTCTGAAACGCGGCGGTTCGGCGAAAAGCTTTCGATACATATCGACTGGCGGTTGGGCGAAGAGCCTGGCGGTTGGGCGAAAGGGTTTTGGTACGTATCGACGGGCGTTTCGCCAAACCGCGACGTTTTTCGCCTTCGACAAAACGCTAGCTCCATCGCGGTGGCGTTTTTCGCCAGCGAAATCGATACACATCTACTGCTTTTCGCCCAACCGCCCAACCGCGGCGGTTGGACGGTTGGGCGGTTGGGCGATTCTCCGATCGATGACTATTTATTGCTTTTCTCCCAACCGCCGTTTCGTCAGGGCCTGGAGACTGTGAACAATGCCTTGCTCCGATTCTTCTTTACCTATTGTTCTTTTCATGACAGCTATTAAGCAGCGTTCAGACTTCGCGACGGCAGGGCTTGGATCGCGCGTTCGACGCGATCGATGCAGTAGAAAGCATGCGCATCGATCGCGCCCATCGCGCGAACGAAGCGCTGCCGTCGCGAAATCTGAACGCTGCCTTAGGCCTTCTCGAGCTCTTGCAAACTTACTTACGGCCTTATGAGTTACATTCTGCGGCAGGATAGATGCCTATTGTGCTTCGATATGGCGGCAAAGGTTACTTGCCTGAGAAAACCCATGGAAGTAGTCGGAATCCTCCGAAATGCATCCCTCGCCATCACACTTGGATCCAGAAGATTCCAAGCTTTGTAGTATCATATGCATCTTATTTTATTTCTCTCGTCTGTCGCTCTCATGTTGGACTTTATTATTCCTTATTATATCGAGCGTAATAACGAGGGTGTCTATCGTTCGAGGGGCGTTTTCCAAAGTAAAGGGGCCTGAATCTACACTCGGCCAAGGAGCCCTGTCACGATTCATCGCAGAGTGTAAGTGGTAAATCATTCGCTGCTATGGACTTGTCTATCATATACTCGGAAGGGGTGACGGATAACTAGTACGATCGAACCGTATTAAGAGTTGGCTCGCAGCTGGGTGGGAGACATCTTTAATTCGCTGCGAAATTTTTGTTCCCCAGCTGCGAAGTGACCTTTTAAACGAGCGAGGGCTGAGAGGTCATCTAATTGTCCACATTTTTTCGTAACAAGTGTAAAATGATCAATAAAGTGAGGAACAAGATATGAAATATGCATACACTGTAGTTCATTGCGGACGGTTGGGCGTGTTCGTGCGGCTGCGTTTGGCGCGGTGCCAAACTCGTTCTCCACGAGTTGTTCAAGCGAGCAAATGACAATACTGTATCATACCCTTCGTATTACTTGTTTTCTGATGTTTTTTGTCGCATGCCCGTTTCAACAAGAAGGCAGAGAACAGCTCAAAGAGGGTGACACACTCCTTCTGGCTGACACGCCCAACCGTCCGCAGCGAAGTAGAGTGTAGGAACACACGGAAGGGACTGTACCACTTTGGAGTAAGGGGTAGGGGGGGGGAGAGGGCATTTAGTACTTTGCTACTTCCTATCGACGTGTCGAGCCACCAAGTAGAGATCCATGAAAGCTTATCAGTCTGTCAGCTCCTGTCAATTCTTGTAAAGAGTACCCGCCAGCACTTGTAAAGCAGTGAAATACCATGAGAGGCGGGCAAGAGGATCGCAATTTGCTGCTTCGCCGCGCGCGGCGATGGGCGCGGCGTTTTCATGACTTTTAACCTGTCGAATGGAGCACCGGACTTCATGTAGACCCCGTCATCGTAGACACTCATTACTGTTTTCGGTCCTTAATTGCATGTTGTCGCCATCTACTGCCTGAAACCATCGTCCTTTGCGGGCGAGACGTCGCACGCGACGCCCAGCAGCGCGGCAAATTACGATCCTCTTGTCACATACCCGGCTCGATGAGCTTTCTCCAGCTTCACAAGAATTCACAGGTTTCGCCAGAATGAGACTTGTAATTGGGAACTATGAAGCAGCGAAAGTGCAAAATCCAACCTCACCCCCCCCCCTGTTGCCACGCGCCTCTAAGTCATAACGCGATTAATTTCATAAAGCTTCAATGGTGGTCGTTCTAATGATATAAAAGTATCGATTGAGGCTGGATCGAGGCTAGAAGGATAGTAATCGTCGTGTCAGCATGGTATTTGTGGTGGTGCGAGTGGACACCAACGAAGGTTTGGACACTCTTCTCAGCCAACTGGTGAGCTCTTGTATTTTCATAAAATGACTCAAAGCTGCGACAAAGATGAGACAGCGCCACCATCACTCTTCCGCTAACATCATTGCTTTCCTGTTGGCCATTAGTCATTCGGGGGTGATGGTGTAATGACAAGTGACAAGTTGCAACGCTATCACATGCACGGTCTGTTGAAGACATAAGGCACGATAATTTGGTGCTAGGTCTAGCAGGGGTACTAGTTGTAGGAAAATGGCGAAAAAACGAAGTGAAACGGTCAGAAACCTAAAAAAAAGTTTTGTTCTACACGACTCAGAAAGCAATTTCGGACGAGTTTCTCGTAGGCATCTTGCCAGTAACCGTTACGGTAGATACAGCTGCATGTATGTATAGTGTAGTTCGCTGCAGACGCTTGGGCGTGTCAGGCAGTATTAGTGTGTCACGCCGTCAAAGCCGTTCTCTACCTTCTTGTTGAAGCGCG